TCGAGTGCTGATGCTTCCGATTGGCGTCCGGGCACCTGCACCCCAACTGCAACTCGGACTCGATGTCCTCCAGGCTTCAGCTCGCCCCGCGTTGTGCTTATCGCTACACCTGCAGGTCATCTATGTGGTTCAACCTGACAGGGCGATGGCGTTTCAGGCGTTCAGCCTTCTCTACCTCGTCATCATGCCCCGCCTCCGCATTTTCTCCGGTCCCAGGCTGGGCTTTTCCTTCAACCAAGCTCCAAGATTACCAAGATGGCAGTCTGCCAGTTCCAAGGAAACAGTGACATGTACGGACTTGGTATCCGCTTGGGGTACTACTTTCAATGGTTTGGTGCCATCTTTGCTGCGTGGCTAGCGCCGTCTGAAGTCAACCCTCTTCGCTTCTCCATCGAAGTCTTTGTTGCAGCCTCTTTCCTAGCCTTGATCATCCTCACTGCCCAAAATGTCGATACCCTCCAGCCGATCGAGACGTACATCGTCCTTCTGCTGATGTTCGGTCATTATCTGGCGCTCGCGCCAATCTTCCTCTGGCGACTTTTGACCATGTGTGACCCGTACTGGGATCCGACGAGATACCCCATGGTCAGACCGAGCCGACTGGCTTCGAATCTGAGCTTCATTCTGCTTCTAGGCGTACTGGTTTACCAGTATTGGTTTTGGTTCGCTCATGTGATGCCGAGTCTCAAACGGCTGAGCTGTCAGCAGTACGGCTTCCTGTTCGGACAGGTCAGATTGAACAGCACGGTATCTATGGTCGTCAACGGTCTACTGTACTGCTTTATTGGACTTGTCTGGCTATATCTTTTCGCATTAAAGGTTAGCCATGGCTTTGGCATCGCTGAACCGCGTCGCCGGAAAAGGGTTGTCAGCAGGCGCCACAAAGCCGCTCACATCGACTTGCTCCGGAATATTGATGGCTGGATCAAACTCATCGTGGCCAGCGTCGTTGTTCTTGGGGTAGAACTCACAATTGGGTGGAACAACATCGAAGAGGTCAATTCGCTCAACAGTGCCGGCCAGACGATTCCATTTGTCATCGGTGTCGTGGCCCTGGTCCGTATCGTCTACGTTTACTATTTCCCGAAGGTGGACGACTACGACAGTGACAGCGATAGCTATTACAGCTACCGCCGTCCAGGAGGAGGCGGCCGGCTGCCTTCTCCACTTCCCGACAGAGAGCTTCCAGGCACACGCATGAAGCGACCGTATCGCCCTGCACCAGTACACCACCGTGGAGCTCTCTAGCCCCCACCACCGCCGGCATATGAATAAACCTTCCAGGAAATATCCTCCAGCATGTCTAACTGTACGAACTTATATACTGTCAGATACTTCAGGAAACTCTCTTATAGGAAGTGTTGACCGGGATCATGTGTCTCATATCTATGCTTCTTTTCTATCAGACTAGTGGAGAGATGCAGAGAATAGAGGTTCGCTATTAGCCAATTTCGTATACGGCAGCCTGGATTACTATCCTTTGATAAGTCCAACCATCTCGACCTTGTATTGCGACTGGTGCTGGCTCCCTTATATCCACACGATCTCTAAATACCTACAGACCACCAGCGTCTTCAATGAATTCGTCGAAAATAGTGATTGCTTCAAACCTTTCTGCCAGAGCCGCCGTTGAAGCAGCCTCACGATCCCTCATCGCAAGAGTCAAATCCGCCGTCCAGATACCAGTTTGTCTTGCAGAAGACTGTCTAGACTTCATCTTTCCCGAGAACGATCTGAACAGAATTGCTGCATTATCTTTAGAGATGACGCCATGGTCAACGGCAATGGCGAGCAATCCCTGGACAGTACCTTCCGCGAACTCGAACCGATCGTAGACCTTGGCATAGCAATTCACGCATAGGAGGAAGTAGAATTGCCAGTCTGAACTGGTGGTATCAGTGAGGAGCGCGTTTGCTGTATACAGGAACGCAGGATGCCATATGCAACCGATTGAGGTGATGTCGTGGTGAGAGATGCATTCTACGAGAAGTCCCTTGAGCTCTAGATAATCATTAGAACATGCTTGGACGTTATGGGACCACTCACGCATTGTAGAGGCTGCGAAGATAGCTTCTGGGGTTTCGAATATTGGATGTCGTGATCGGAGCTCTTGGGTTTTCTTCTTGTCGATGATGAACGGGCGGAATAGATCCATGAGGAACATGTGAAAACAGATGCTAACACAGCTCTGTGAGTGATCCTGTTCAGCGCCAGTGAATTAGACGGGCCGGCTCACTGCAATTGTAACACGGCAAGTGGGTTCTTCCCTCTATGCCGTCGTACTCTTGCCGGTAGGTTGTCCATCAGGTCCATGTACTTCGCATATTTCGAATAGATGAATGCCAGCGGAGGAGTTCGAGTCATTAATGGGTCGCGAAGAATGACAAGTACTTCCGAGTGTATCTTGTAGAACCTGCACGTGTAGATGAACGCCTCGTCGACAACGGAGTTCGCTCCCTGGGATTGTACGAATATACGAAGCGTACTATCAAAGTATATTGTATCCGATTTCTCTGGTATTGATACAGCTGGTGGATCATCCAAGGGCGGCGCGACGTGAACGCTGGCACATAGACTACGCAGATTAGTAAGATACCATATCGACGCAAAAGACTTTGTTACCAGCTCACACGTAGAAATCGAATGTCGCCCAAGTCGTTTGTGCCAAGGCACGTTGGGCCTCTTCAGTGAGGGAGCTGATTTGAGTATCAGTAAGTGGATCCCCAACACCAAACAGTTTCATCCTTTTCGCCATTTTACAAGCCTCGAGTACATATGTTACAGCATTTTCCCCACCTTGCCCATGAAGTGCTATCGACGCATAAAGCAACATGCAGCCAGCTACGTTGGGCACCGAATCGTCCAGCTTAGCGCGCCAAAGCATTTCTGCCTCCTTTTCGAACTCGAAGCTCTTCATTGGGGCGATTGGGTCTTCCGTAGAGTACTGTTGCGACGCCATCGCGAGCAGGGAGCTAACGAGAAAGGACGAGCAGTGGTCACTTCGCAAGTGAATGAGATCGTTCAAGAATGACGCAACATCGAAGAAGCGCAATATCGCATGGTCCGTTTCAAGGTAGGCTGAGATTGCACCCGCGGCATAATGATTTGTTACGGAGACGGCTGTCCAGAAGCTGATGTGCAAACAATTTAGAAGTGGATCAAAGTATTTAGTACTGGAGGCTCCAGTCACCTCATTTCCCTTCACCTGTTGGGGATCGGTTGCAGGTCGAAGATCGGAATGATTCTGTCGGGGTTGTAGACAGGTAGCCAGCACATCACTGCAGCCTATCGTGTTGGCCATGGGTTGTGACTTTGACCCAGAAGGCATATCAAATGCAAGGATCCTCGCAGTCTCGAGCAGCGTGTTACTGGACAGAATGGCGTCGGATGTCAAATTCGATGCGGGGTACGCGGCCGGGTGCTGAGTCATGAGCTGGAGTTCGGTATGTATCTGTGGTAAAGTAGACAGGGCGGTGGTCATCTCGGAGGGTCTCTGCAATATTTGACCACTTTCGTATCTGCGAAGAACTGAGAGCGGATTCGATGAGCTTCGGAGTTCGTGTAGAACTGCCTGGGCTGTTTCCTCCGGCGCAGTACGTAGACACTCTATGAGGTCTCCAAGACCCTTATGCTCTCTCGTCTGAGCCTCACGTCGGGTCTCTGCCTCGTCTTGTGTAGTGTAGTCACATGCAGTCTGTCGAGCCTTGCATGCTGCACATATTGGTCGGACGCCATTGCACTACGCATGTTGCGCATTAGGACAACACTGGTCGCATTCCTACTGGTGGGCTCTTACCGCTAGCTTCTTTTTGCGACAGGGTGTGCAAGCTACCGCTGTGCGTTTTTTCCTCTTCTCAGTCGGCAGCGGAGCCAACGCTCCTGTACGAGGTGCGAGTGGTCTCATACGCGATGTCATCGTGAAACTCCAAGTACCGGAGTCAATCGACTTTCGAGGAGGGGCACCAGGCCGCACAACAAAGCATGTGTGCCCTGGTGTGCCCTCCGACTCGGATGTCCTTGGAGAGCGCGCTCGCGGGGCCTGCGCAATCGCTTCTCGTCGGTAGGAGAGGTGTCAAAGGGTGGTTAGCGAATCTCGAAGGTGGTGTGGTGTTCTGGTATGATGCTAGACGAGTTTACAACGTAGACTTGGCTGTATGTTGCTTTGCATCACGAATATGCACGATGGCTGTCGCGTAGAGTCGTCGACTGCTCGCTGCGTGCCGTTTGGAGCGGGGCGCTGTGTTGACTCAGCACAATCGTGATGCGCAGGACCAAGCCAAAATCAGTCGCTGCTTCCGGTTGGCGTTGTACATGTACCGTAGACTCTCGCAATCAAGAGTTATTGCTAGACTGTATAAAGCAGGCGGTAAACAAGAGGAGGCCATTGGATTTTGATGTGTTGATAATCCCACTTCGACGCCTGCGATTGGTTCCGAATTAGGCCTAGCAGAACTCTTGTTCGCGAGAGCCGCTTCCGACACGCAATCGACGTCGGCGAGATTCTGAACGGGAATGGTGCTTCGAGGAACAACTGGTCAGTAGCGTTACCTCCGCTTCTACAGTTCTGCTTTGCCATGACAACGGTGGCGACTTTCAGTTACTATATCGCTTCAATTACCGTTAGATATCACTTATAAGCGTGCTTAGGTATGCAGCACAAACAATTCCGCTTCTCCAAAATCACACTACCTCTAGGTGTCCAAAGGAAACGAATCTGTGTAGTCCCAACGCTGTTATATATGACCACCTAGGTTGACTCAAAAAGTCTTATCACGTGCCCAATAGAGTTCAGGCATCCATGCAGGTGGCCCAAAGGATGGCAATTGTCGGTGCACTAGTTGCTGACCGCGCCCCGTCCCACATTCTCCGCCACGTCACACCAAAACTCCAGTTACACAGCTATCCAGTCGTGTCTGCATCGATGCAGGAAGCGCGATAGAGCGTAGAAACTCTTACTATATATTCTTTTGTACTGCGGAAAATCTATAATTCGTTCTTCGGGCCCTTTGGCGCAATGGTAGCGCGTGGCCCTCCTAAGGCCAAGGTTGTGGGTTCGAGTCCCATGAGGGTCGTCATTCGTCTCTCTTCCATGCAGGTTTGAGTCCTGCTATCTCCCTTTTGCGATTTTGCAGTCCTTTTTGCCCTGGGGATGGCTCTCGATGAGGTGCGAGGTTTGTGCGGGGTAGAGCGGGGTTGCCAAGAGCAAGCTTGGACCTACATCTCCAACCTTTGATTTGATTGTTATACCTAAACACGAACATTCAAAGGCTGATGGACATCATCTATACATCGAAGAAGACTGTACATTGTACTAACACCAAGTGTGTCAGTCATTTTGCTCAAATCTCCAATCACGGACGAGATCATTCCCTGACTAGACAGACGCTTTTTTCTCCCCAAAAGCCTGTAGACCTTGGACTATGAGACTTCAAGGACTCCCTCGTCTCTTTACGAATGCCCGTAGCACTCGGGTACAGAAGACCACTTCAGTTCTCGTTAGGATGAACCTCTTCATGCCCCTTCGGTCACGAAAGGGACCCTGATCATCGAGCCTATCTTCCGCAGTCGGCACCCCACCTTTTGGTCGTCGGGGCACGAATTATCTGTCATCCGTAAGCCTGTATCACACTGCTCGATTATTCATACATGATCCTCGATAGCCGATACCCTAGGGCCGCTGCCTGCGACATATGACGACAACTTTACAGATTGCATGGCGATTTGAGCAGGATCCGCCAACTTTTCAACCTGCATCCCCCAAATCGGGCTGTTGATCTACCTTGCCCGGCCCCTGCTGGTGGTGTAAATCACTGTCATGCTCCCGAAACGGTCCTTGCTCATGGTACAAGTGTTCTTCCTGATGACTGGGCATATCCTGGAATTGTCCCCATTGCTGCGAGTACCGGCGAACTCCTTCTTTTTGCTCTTGTTGCAATGACATTCGATTCATCTGCAAATTCAAGACTGCAGTGTCGCACGCCTCCTGCAAGTTGGTCCTTAGGTTCCCTAGCACCATCTCTTGATGCAAACTAGCTCTTATCTGTGCACTCAAGTTCCATATAGCATGCTCGGCTACTCCCTGGAAGGTGCACGGCTGATTTTCTCCGGCTGAGTCGATGTCGAGTTCAGGCTCATACAGAAAAGAGCTACGGGATCTCATCTGTACACCCCCCAACTCTGGGGCCACCACCGAATGATTGTGTGGTGGACCTATATGAGTCGATGGATCTCCTTTCTGGGAAATAGCTGAACCAGAGGGTTCTTTGTTTCTATTTCCTGCAGGTCGTCCCATTACCAAGCAAGTTCCGCGCACGGGTACAAACGTGGATGAGGTGGCTGGTGGAGGTTCCATTTCCAGATCCGACTCCTCTTCGATCGCATCCAGGCTATGGAGTGGAAGTGGCATGACGCGCGATGTGTTGACGTCGAGAGCCTCCATCGACACGCGTCGTAGCGGAGCCGGTGCTAGAATTGGGTCGTCGTCTAAATTCATGGCTCTTGCCGGTAGCGTCGGCTCGGGCAACAGCCCCTCTTCTTCGCTCCGTGCCATCAATGTAGATCGGAGAGAAGACGGATGAAATGGCGTTGTATAGTGCCCTTGCCTAGACACTGGTCTGATCACCAGTCCGACGGCCGCCTCTCCCATCCCCCCAACGGTCGGCATGTTCAGCGCCTCGTCCATCGTTTGAACCTCGCCGTCAACTCGACCAGAGGTCTCTTCATCACCATGGGATGTGATTTCCATCAGGCCGCTCAATACCTCGTCGAACATGTTTAGGGGCACTGACACTGGAGCCTCCGCGCGATCGCTCACTGTGATGGAAGAGACACCTGGATCTGTCGATCGAGGATGATCAGATACTATCTCAAAATCTGTTCCCTCCAGTTCCAGCAAAGCTTGTGGTCGTCGCCAAGATGGACCAGCCAGGCGGCCATCAGACCAATTGAGAAAAGCCACCGCCAGTTTATCCGTCCCCTGGTAGTCTTTTGCAAATCCGTGGGATTCAATGAGGTGTTTCTTCACGACCGGTCGTCGGAGTCTCCTGTTTCTGAACTTTCTTTGCGCCAATCTCCATTCTCTCGCCAATTCATACCCATCAGTCGTTGGCGTGCTGTGGCGCAAATGTGGGAACCACTTTCTTCCGATGTCGCCATCTTCTATCGAGCGCCAATCCAAGCTTCCGACGATACATGCAGCTGGCATCTCACTCCATGGGAACCAACAACTGCATTCGCCGTGTAGTCCTGTCTTAAAGTGCCTGCAAAGAGACTCGCAAGAGATCAAGGATCCTGGAGGAATACCTGATGCCTGCAAGACTTTGATCGTCCATTCGACCCCGGGAGACTCGGCCGTGGCCGCCTTAGCACCTGCGAACGCGTCGATAAGCTCCTCGAATAGAGTTAACAGCTTTCTTGGCTGTGAGCCCTCGCGATGGTCCTGTAAGAGAGCCTCAAGGGCGTCCCACTCTGCGCCCATGGACATAGATCTTTCCGGATCACTGGTTGATTGACGGGGCCCCTGGGCAGGGACTACTGACAATGGGAGCACAGCGAAAAGGAACTCTGGTGAAAGCATGCTGGGGTGGGGAACGCCCTTCTCAAGAGCGGTGAGATCGTTGAAGGCATTCGCAACTGTACTTATCAAGAAAGGAGGTGCCCCTAGCCGTGTCAGATTGATAATATCGCGAATAATGATACAATATACCGATCTGAGTTGAATCTACCCTCACCGCTTCCAGTACGGTCAAGTCGGCTCCCTGAACAAGTATGTTCTGAGCATGCTGCGACGACAACGCATTGGAATGAGTGAGCTCGTGGGGTGTGGAAATCTTCTCTTCGACTTTTTGCGATCGCTTCTTCCTCCGCAGGAAACGCATGTTTCAAAGGGTTCTCTCACCAAAATCCTGTTGTACCGTTGCCCAATATGGGTAACAACAAGTTCTAGCGGAGTGAGCAGTAATGACTGTTGCACGGTCGCCTCCGTCGTAGTAGCGTAATTCTAACGTGGTTCCGAGCGACATCATATCGTACCTCCGCGCATCGTCGGGGCAGAGGCGCACCTCTGAAAGGTGAGAGTACCCGGAAAGAGTCTTGAGAGAGGCGATCTCAGCTTCATACCAATAGGGTGAGTGGCAATTCTGTTGACTTGTTGGGGTTCCAAGGTTTACTGAAGCGAGCAGCAGCCCCGGCACGTATCTCTCTCACAGCACATGACGATGTCCAATGCGCCGCTTCTTCAGATTTGTCCACGTACAATAAGGCTGTCTTTCATTTCCAATACGCTCAAGCGCTACTCTCCATCTCAAAATGACTTTGAGTGAGACCCTATTCGATAGAAGTCGTTCAGCGAATGATCGCTTCTCTGGATCACAGCTCAACAAACGACCTCCACAATCACGATGACACCTGAAGCCATAGTATCGGTTTGTAACCCAAATAATCTTCCTCTTGAACCCGGATACACAATCTATCTAGATTTTGTCGCTGTAACATCTCTACCAAAGGTTCAATCATTACTCTTGGAAGTGAGATGCGAAGAGTGATTGAGCCCTCAAGTAAGATCATCGCTCAATAAGTCCACCGCAAACACTAGCAACGACGGCACGAGCCCCACTTCGCGGCGCATGTGTCGACGTGCTCTCTTGAAGCCGCTTCGTAAAAAATCAGTTGCAATCGAACACCACACCACCCACGATCCCGACCAAAGTGCCGACATCCCCCACCCCCAAGGTTATTCCCTCCTACTCCTCTTCATGCTTGTCACCCTCATCTCCATCTGCATTCTCTTGAAACATAGGCTCTCCCGCCTCTTGCCTAAGCAGCCCCTCATCCAGATTCTGCTCCTCCGCTTTCCATCTCAATCCGCTCTTCTGCCGCTTCAACTTCTGATCGATCCCACTCTGGGCGGCTAGTACCTCTGTCAATGTCGCGAACGGCCCTGCTTTGATCTGGGCAGGCGTCTTACCGACCCACCACTGCGCGCTGAGGCCAGATGGGAACGGTTCTGAGTGAAGAGCAGACGGCATACCGAGCGCGTAGCATTCTTCACGATCAGAACCCCAGACGAATGTCGCAAGACCTTTGTTCGAGGCTTCGCGGAGCAGGCGAAGGGCCGTGGTCTGCGGGTTCATGGGAAGCGTGAAGTGCGTGATGACGGCAGGTGGCTGCTTGGGCGCGAGGCGAGAGGTGTAGTGTATGCCTTCGCGGATTCGAGCAAGGACTCCGTGATCTTCGTCTTTGACATCTGATGGCAAGGCTTTGAGGGAGATGGCACCGAGGACGGGCTTGCTGTTCTGAGCGCGGCTGCTGGTAGCAGTTGGAGCACGCTTGGTCGCTGGCGTACGGGTAGCCGCTGGAGGAGCACGTGTAGTTGCTGGAGGAGCACGTGTGGCCGCTGGGGGGGCACGTGTAGCCGTTGGAGGAGTACGTGTAGTCGCCGGAGGAGCACGTGTAGTCGCTGGAGCTATGTTTCGGGCAGGACCAACTAGTGTAGGCTTCAGACATACTTGCATTGGCTGGTCGCGCTCTTCGGGCTGCTGGGCCGGAGCCTTTCTCGTTGTCATTCGCTTGGATGTGCCAGGTGTAGTTTGAGGACCAGTATCGGGCTCGACTTCCATCCTTGCCTTACCCTTTGGCTTTTGGGCAATAATTGGCGTTTGTTCTTCATTCAAGCTGTTCCTCAGGGCACCTCGTGTTGTCATCCGCTCAAGCAAACCGATTGTAGCTTGAGGACCGCTGGGGGGCTCAACCTCCATCTTTCTCTTGCCTCTCGATTTCTCGCCAATAATAGGTGCGCGTCTATCGATGACGGTGTTCTTTGAAGCTCCTCCTGTTGACATCTGCTCGACTCCGCCGACCGCGATTTGAGGAACACTCTTGGGGCCAATTTCCACCTTCGCCTTTCCTTTCGACTTCTCACCGAGAAGTGGCGCGCGTCCATCATTCGAATTGGTCACAGTATTGGCTGCAGTCTTTCGAGAAATAACGCCCTTGGACGCGCCACCCGGAAGATTGATCTTCGGCGGAGCAGCTGCGTTTGCTGCTGGTCCTCCCGTCTCTTGCGGTGTGCCAG